GTTGTTGTTATTATTTTGGCTTTTTGAGATAGGGTCTCACTAAGAAATTCAGGCTCTCCTTGAGCTCCCTTTGTAACTCAGGTGGGCCTTGAATTTGCTGTGGTCCTCCTACCTTGGCCTCCCAAATACTTGGATGGGACTGCAGGTGTGTGTCACCACACCTGGCTCCTTCTGTTTTTTGGAACTTTTCTTTAGAGTGATATTACAATTGGCTGAGGGAAAAAAACACAGCCAGGTGTGGTAGCACACACCTGTGATCCCAGTACTCAGGAGGCTGAGGCAGGAGGATTACCCTAAGTTTGAGGCCAGTTTGGGTTATATAACAAAAAAAACCCAAACAAAATACTGGGTGTGTACTTTTAAAAGTGTGTACTTTTATCTTTCTCTCTCCCCCCTTTTCGAAGCTCACTCTGCACAGCCAGTTTCTCTCCCACTCATTTTTACTCGAATAAACTTTGCCCCTGCTTAAAAAAAAGTCAGCACTGCAAACCTGAGTCCAAAGTTGGCTATTGAATGAATGGTGAAAGGGCAACTGGCCAGACCTTGGAAAACAAATTCAAACCCTTGCTTCCCACTGGTATACTTCCCAGAGGGGTCAAGACTTCCACACAAAAACCAAAACCAGAGGACCCCAGAAGAAATCTTCAAGGAATGTCTTTGAGAAATCATCTTGGCTGGGTGTGGTAGCACACACCTGTAATCCTAGCACTCGGGAGGCTGGGAGGCTGAGGCAGGAGGATTGATGCTAGTTCAAGGTCAGCTGGGGCTACATAGTGAGTTCAAGGCCTGCCTGAACTACATGGCAAGACTCTTGTCTAAAAAAAAAAAAAAAAAAAAAAATCTTGACGTGGATAAACTCTCTTAAGTGTGGTAAAGCCAAACCAAACAAGACAAACTAACCACAAATAGGAAGGTGGGAAAGAAAAAGTGGTAAAGACAAACAACAATTTGAGGTGTGTACACAAAACACGTGGAGCTCAGACCCATATAGATAAAGAGTCCAGGGGCTGGGGATTTAGCTCAGTGGCACAGTGCCTGCCTGGCAAGTGCAAGGTCATGAGTTCAATTCCCGGTACCGGGCACAACCAACCCCCCCCACCCCCCCGCAAAAAAAAGACTCCAGCGACAGGAAAAATATTAGGAGTCCCACACAACAGAGGGCCAAGGACAGGCCGACCTGGTGAGTCACAGAAATCAAGGGACAGATGAACTTGAGGTGATCAGCCTCCCTTTTAAAAAAAGGCTACAAATTACAAGCAGCAGGGGATGTTTTGTACTCAGATGGGAAAAGATCAGAATGTCTCATGTTCTGCAACCTTGTGGGAAAATAAGAACTCTTGGGACATCAAAGTGGTCTTGACCTTTTCCTGCTGGCAGGGAGCCCTTTGATCCTGAGAACCCAGCAGCCAAGAGCCAGCATCTTACACTTCCACTCCACTCCGATCTGGCAGCTCTGTTCATCTGCATGTTTTCCTCTCCTCTTTCACAAAACTGCTCACCTTCTGCTTGTTAATTAAGCTGAGAAATCAATCTAGGCCATCAGCTCTATATCCAGTTCATAGTGCTTGCTACTGCTAGAAGTGAACAAAATTTATTTGATGACAGCTAAAACTACACATGGTAAATGTTTGCTGAAAGGGCCATAAACCTCAAGGGTGTTTTAGCTACTAATTTTTTTTCTTTTGAGGCAAGGTTTCACTCTGCAGTTTAGGCTGGTCTTGAAGTCAAAATGAGCCACTCTGTCCCACGTGCTGGGATTATTGGCACGTACCACCACACTTGGCAATGGCTACTGAATTTTGATGTAAAAAAAAAAAAACTGACCACCAGACAACTGGAACTTAATAGAAATAAGAAGGCTCAAAATGCCAGAAGAGCCACGAGTGGTGGCGTACGTTTGTAATCTCAGCACTTGGGAGGCTGAACTAGGAAGATTACCACAAACTCAAGGCCAGCCTGAGTTCAAGGCCAGCCTGAACTGCATAGCAAGACCCTGTCTCAAAAAAAAAAAAAAGGCAGAAGATATTGGTAAGATCCTATATACCCAAAAGCTGGTCTACAAGTTATAAAATTTTATGGAAGCCTGGTGTGGTGGTGCATGATTGTAACCCCAGCACTCGGGAGGCTGAGGCAGGAGGATTATTGCAAGTTCGAGACCAGCTTGGGCTACAAAGTGAGCTCACGGCCAGCCTGAACTGCATAGCGAAACCCTATCTATCTCAAAAAGACAAAAAAAAATTTTTTTATGGAAAATGGGGAGTTAAACTGTATGGTGGTACCCACCTATAATCCTAGCACTCCGGCTGAGGCAGAACTGCTGCTACTTTTGAGGCCAACCTGAACTACCTAGCAAGGCTCTATATCAAAAAATTAAAAAAAAAAAAAATATATATATGGTAT